GTATATAAATATAATAATTTTTCTTTATTACCGTTAAATTCTATTGTAGAATACACATATATAAATAAATTCTATATAAACATAATAATTTTTTTATTTATTTTGTATATAAATATAAAAAAATCACAATATAAAATTAAAAAATAGAATGCATATACATTATTTATATGAGTAATACTAGAAATTCTTAATGGCTTTTACGGCTTTCGATAGTCAGTTGCCAGGAGTGGTGAACTTACCATTGACTCTCTTCGGTTCTACACCGCCGATTCCTAATGATGTGCTGATAAATGAGATAAAAAGAGTCAAAAAAAGAAAAGTGAAGAAGAGAGAGAATGACAGAGAGTAGAAGATGGATAGACACAGAAAGAGAGACAGAGCAAACGAGAGGAAGATTGAGAGAGAGAGAGAGAGAGAGAGAAGAAGAAGAAGAAGATCGATCGACAGAGAGAAGAAAATCAATTAACAACGAGAAGAAGATTGAGAGACCAACAAAGAGAAGAAGACAGATTGAGGTCGCTAGTGAGAATAAAAGATGGCGATGGCGATCGCTTCCTTCTCCACTTTAACTTGTAAGTTTCTCAATAATCCTTCTTCACTCTTCTCTCATGCTAGCTGTGTTTGAGAAAACCATGCCGAATCCAACACAGATCTCACACCCACACCCATGTCACGTCGTGTCGTGTCATGTCATGTTGACACGAGTACTCTGCCATAAACCGACGAGTCCACGTAACACAGGATCTAAAGAGGAGTTTCAGGGGAGTGATCATGGTCGTGGATCGAAGAAGATAAAGTAGGTGGTGGTGATTTTCACGTCACTCTTCTGGACGGTGCCAGTCACGGACGGCACCGACGCCAACATCGGCATCGCCGACATCGCCATCGGCGCCAGAGAAGAGAAGATTGGGAATTGAACAGTCACAATGAAAGGACCATAGCGGAGATGAGAGGTGGTGAGAGTATTTGAGATGAGATCATCGGAGAGACGGTGTCAAATCATGATTGGAGAGTGCGACAAAGCTACAGCAGCGACCGATTGAGGAAGATGGCGATAAAGCTGCGTGGCGACAATTGTGAAGAGGTTAATGAAGATGTCGAGTGCGGTGAGGAGGTAGCAAAGGCGGCGGCAGCGGTGGTGGTGGTGGTGGTGGTGGTGGTGTTAGTGGAGAAATTTACATTCCTGAAGGGGACCCGGATCTTGAGCCTTATGAGGGCATGGAATTTGAATCTGAAGAGGCTGCCAAGGCTTTTTACAACTCATATGCCCGTCGTGTCGGGTTCAGCACCCGTGTTAGCTCCTCCCGCCGTTCCAGGAAGGATGGAGCAATCATACAGAGATCCTTCGTTTGTGCCAAAGAAGGGTTCCGGAACTTGAATGAGAAGCGCACCAAAGATAGAGAGATCAAGCGCCCCCGCACCATTACCCGAGTGGGATGCAAAGCATCCTTGTCCGTGAAGATACAAGATTCCTCCGGGAAATGGGTTGTCTCCGGCTTTGTCAAGGACAAGCCAAAATAATTTGGATTAAAGTTTAATAATATGAAGAGTGAAAAGTTAGCCCAATTAATATTGTGACTATAAAGTATTGTGGCCCAAACAGTGATAAAAGTTTGGGCAGGCCTATTATCATTCTTTCAAAAGTGTGGGGTGGCTCATTATGATTATTCTTTTTAGTTGTTGATTAAAACAAAAACTAAATCAAAAACAATAGGGAAAAAAAATGAAGATAAGACCAACAATTTGCCACGTAACAGAAGAGATAAGGTTTTGACTTGCTCTCTCTCTCTCTCTCTCCCCTTCGGTAATTGAAGGACGAACGTCAACGTGAATTCCGTAATTAAAAGACGAACGTCAATGTGAATCGGCATCTATTGCGCCTCAATCTTCCTCGATCAGTGTTTTTCTTCCTCGATCTACCCAATCACTGGTTCGTCTTCCTCAATCTGTCATATCCTTTTGCAAAGTGCCGTATCCTAGCCAGATTCCACACCCGTGTTGGTGTCGTGTCGACACGGGTATTGGCTGGAAAATGACGAGCCCGTGTAATGTACAACACAAATGTCTAACTACATTATGTTGGTAGTGGAGAAGTTACGTCTTCAACTATATGTTCTCTTGATTTGTGAAGTCTTGTGAAAAGGCTTGTCTACTAAGTAGTAAATATCATTTATTTTAAAAGAGTACATGACTTCATTGCATTCTTACTAAAACGACAATTTAGCTCCTATAATTGAGAATAAATTGCAACATGCAAATATTTATTCAATAATAATGCACAAATGTAAATTCATCTTGAGAATGATGAGCTCAATCTCATTGTCGTCATGAGACATGTTTCGTGCTGCACTAATTTTATCATAATAAATAAAGCATCACATCTATCATCTCTCAATTTTTTAATATGATCTTTAGTTGATGAAACAAGACGGGTTGCAGTTAAAATGACTTGACATTTACATTGCAAAGCTTGACAAAGAATATCAATACTCTGCATAATTCCTTTCATAAGTGGTGATGGAATTAGGGGTTGTTTGGGATTATCTAAATAAGTGCACTTTTTAACTTTTTATGAAATATGGGTTGGGTTTGGGTTTGGGTTTGGGTTTGGGTTTGGGTTTGAGTTTGAAGTGATGTGTTAGAGAGGTAATATGACTTAAATAGGATAGTGATTTTTTGACTTTTTTCAAACATGCCAAACCAAGCCTTACTCTTTTTGATGATGGAGTCACTCCTTATAATCGAGTAGTCGTCAATGTAGCTTATGAATCATTGACTTCATTTAAATGTCTTCATCTTATATCTTATAAAAAAACTCAAAGATTATTTGATTATTTCTGTCAAGCTTTGCAATATAAATCTAAAAATATTTTAAAGGTCATCCATCTTGTTTAATTAAATAAATATCTTATTTAAAAATCGTGAAATGATTGATGAGAGTGCTCGTTATCTTCTTAGACATTTTTGAGCTCGCGATCATCAAGATGAGTTTACAATTGAGCATCATTATTGAATAGTTATTTTTTATGCTGCAATTGATTCTCAATTACAATAGCTAAATTATCATTTTAATAAGAATGCAACAGAGTTGCTTGGTCTTAGCTCAACTTTCAATCCTCAAGGGTATGCATACATAAAAATAGATGATATTTGCAGGTTAGTAAACAAGTTCTATCCACAAGACTTCATATATAAGAGAAAATACAATTGAATGTGCCACCTTCTCCACTACCATCATAATGTAGTTGGCATCCTGACTTTAAAAAGTTGTCAACTATTTCTAGTGTGTTGCGTCAATGGTTGGTAAGGACTAAAAGATCGACACTGCCGAGTGATCATACTTGTGCTTACTCTTCTAGTTTCTACAACAAGTATGACAAATCAAACACCATCTGTTGCCGCCATTAAAGTTCTCAGTGGGGGGAGCAAATTGAAGAGTCGAAGGGGTGATTGAAAAGGAAAAGGGGTTTTTTGGGAGAAAAGTGAAGAGTGAAAGGGGTTTTGGGGGGGAGAGACAAAAAAGGCATAAGAGAAATAAAATTTAATCTGTAATTGACGGAAGAGACATTAATGGGAGAGAGAAATTAGAAAGACAGAGACATGAATAGAAGAGATTCCTTAACAATGACGAGATGGGTAGAAAGAGTAGAGAGAGATAGAGTAATCAATGTAATATTAATAATTTTTTTTAAACAAAGGAAGAGACTATAATTTGTAATCTGTAATAGAAGAGAGAGTGACATTAATGAAAGAGACTGATTTTCTTAAACAACAAAGATAGAAAATGAAGAGAGAGAGAGAGGGAGAGTACTGAATGTAATATTAATGGAGGATTGACATATGATTTTGAAAAAAGGAAGAGAATAAGAGAGAGAGAGAGAGAGAGAGGGAGAGAGAGAGAGAGAGAAATCAATGGCGTAGAAGAGAGATTTCTGACCTTACTGAATTATCTAAGTGCCCAAGGATTGTGATTAAGGTCTCCGAATTAACTTCTCAGATCACAGGTTCAATTTTTTTTTTTTAGCCAATCTCTTGGACGAAGTATAATTAATTAGGAGATTAGATCTTAAATTATCTAATTAACATTTGGTGTAAGTTTAATACTTTTCGCTGTGTGAGTCCTAATTTAAGCGGAACTTGTCTTGAGAGATCAGGACAAGTTCCCAGAGTATAATTTCATCGTTTGGAACGGCTAACAGAACACTCTGGTGATCTCTATAAAGAGGCCTTTGACCTGTGAGAAAGTGGGAGGATTTCCTGTAAAAAAATAAATAAATAAATAAACCTAAATAGTATGGTCATATAGAGCGAGTACACTGTTTAGGTGTCCACCAGCAGGTAACATTATCAATTCCTATTTTAATATGATTTTTTCTGGGATCACGCGGCTAGCAAATCGCAGAGTCTGTCTAGGTGGAGCCCTGAACCGGAGACCCATACCCAGGATCCGAATTCAGGTCTCGATGGTAAAGCGAACCGTAACAAATTTATTTAGGTGTACTGTGTGTTTGTTTGGGAAGTGAATTTTTTTTTGTAGGTTTTTTAAGTTATACGATATTATTGGAGAAAATTTTTTTTGTGTTTGAGAAGATATTTAGATTTTTTTGTGATTGGATAAGATATTTGTGAAAGAAAAATAAAATGATTATAGGGTTTGATATAATATTTTGTTTGAATTTATTTTTTTGATTTTATAATCAATTTGTCTTTTAATAAAAAAATAAAAAATAAAAACCCAAACCCCAACTTCCCAAACAGCGCCTATATGTAGCACCCTTATATTTTTACTATAATCTCATTTAGATCTCTACATTTTTAATTGTGAGGGAGAAGAATTAAAATTTAATCCAAGTTTATCCAAAAACAAAGCTCAAGAACTGGAATTACCTTAAACAGAAAACCATAAAATCACAACAAAAATAAAGCAATAAGCAAATATTGGGAATGTACAAAAAGCCACAAATTAAGAGCAGTAATTGAATGAACAAAGAGTGAATTACCAAATCCTTGGCACTACTGGTGGACACGAGCTTCGATGACTCATCCTCCTCCGAATTCGCATCCCTCCGCTTCCTCCCGCCGCCGCTCTGCTCCGTAACCGTCGATTCGTCAACGGAGACGTCACGGTTCGAGTTGGCCTCTGCGAATGCGCCGAAGTTACACATCCTCAACCCTAACCCTCCTCCTCCACGGCTCAGCTCGCCATTGATCGGAAACGGCCAAATCTCAGCTAAACTGTACGACGAAGGGTTTGCTGCCGAGAACGAAGCCTCGTTGATTATCGGAGGATCCATTTCAGCAACTCATTCAAAATACAAACACAAACATAATTAAGAATGTCTGTGAAATTGAGCTGAATGAGAGAGGTAGTGGAATTGAAACCCTAGATTTTTTTTGGTTTGAGAAAGTGCTAGGATGGAGTAAGGGTTATTTAAGGAGTGGAGAGAGGGAGACACAGACAGAGACAGAGGCAGAGACACAGCAATTTCTGGAAGTACAGTCTGAAGGTGAAGTGAGAGAGAGTTCTCTGTGAAAGTGAGGATGATGAGTGTTGGTGCGCACTGCACTCACGGCGCATGATATCAGTCTAGACTCGGGAATCGCTGGAGTAGATAAAGATTCTGTACTCGCTAGAAGAGACAGGCACGTATTCGATTTGTGAGCGAAATGACAGAAAAATCCAATTACTATATTTCTGACCTTACTGAATTATCTAAATCTCAGGGGATTGTGATTAAGGTCTCCGAATTAACTTCTCAGATCACAGGTTCAATTTTTTTTTTTTAGCCAATCTCTTGGACGAAGTATAATTAATTAGGAGATTAGATCTTAAATTATCTAATTAACATTTGGTGTAAGTTTAATACTTTTCGCTGTGTGAGTCCTAATTTAAGCAGAATTTATCTTGAGAGATGAGAACAAATTTCCAGATCATAGTTTCTTCGCTTAAAACGACTAATAGAACACCTAGTGATCTCTGCAAGGACGTTAGCTTTAACCTCTGAGAAAGTGGGGGGATTTCGTGTAAAAAATAAAAAATAAAAAAATAAAATAAAATAAAACCTAAATAGTATTGTCATATAGAGCGAGTACACTGTTTATCTGTCCACCAGCAGGTAACATTATCAATTCCTATTTTAATATGATTTTTTCTGGGATCACGCGGCTAGCAAATCGCAGAGTCTGTCTAGGTGGAGCCCTGAACCGGAGACCCATACCCAGGATCCGAATTCAGGTCTCGATGGTAAAGCGAACCGTAACAAATTTATTTAGGTTTACTGTGTGGGGTGTTTGGAGAGTGAGTTTTTTTAGTTGTAGGATATTATTAGAGAAATTTTTTTTTGTGTTTGAGAAGATATTTGAGTTTTTTTTTGTGTTTGGATGTGATATTTGTGAGAGAAAAAGTAAAATGATTAAGGAGTTTTATATAATATTTTGTTTGGATTTTTTTTTTTTTGATTTTGTAACCAATTTGTCTTTTAATGAAAAAAAACAAAAAAAAAAAACCCAAAACCAACTTCCCAAACAGCACCATAGCACCCTTATATTTTTACTATAATCTCATTTAGATCTCTACATTTTTAAATGTGACTGTTAGTCTTTTATATTTTAAATTAAATTGTAATATTATTTTTATGTTCATCTAATTTTAGATTGATGAAAATTAAAAATTAAGAGATCAAAATAAAATATAAGCAAAAGTATAAGAATTAAAATGAAATTGTAATAAAAGTGTACCATTGATTTTATTTTTATTTTTTAAACAGAAATAGCATTTTCTCAAATGTGGCCTTAGTTATGTGATTTTTTCAATTTTTGTAGAACTCATAAGGAAAAATCTAAGCAGGATGGTTGATGCTCTATTTTGTTTACCAGAATGAAATGGAATAAAATGGAACGGTTATTTTTTAGTCTCATATGATATGATAATTCCCTTATAATTGTAAACCACGATTCCACTTAAAACACATTTATTATTATGTTTTTAATCAATCATAAGAATAAATATTTTGATAAAATAATTATTTTATTCTATTAAATTAAATACTACTCAAGCAGGCCTTGTTTAGCAAGAGAATTAGGTTAAAATAACTCATTAAAAAATAAAATATGCTAAAATGATGAATAAGACAAATGGGGTGTTTGGCAGAGGCTTTTTTTAGCTTTTTGGGCTAAAATTCATAAAATGACAAAATAGGTTAAAATAACCAATCAGACAAAATGTCACATCAAATCCATAATCATTTTACTTTTTCTCTCACAAACATCACATCCAACTACAAAAAAATCCTACTATCTTTCCAAACACAAAAAAATTTAGCCTCCGTTTGGAAAGTGGGTTGGCTTTTTGACTTTTTGGCTTTTTTGGCTATTTTAGCCCGGGCTTAAAAGCTTGGTTTGGAAAGAACTTTTTGGCTTTTTGACTTTTTTGAGTTTTTTTGTGAGAGAAGAATGTAATGATTATGGGTTGGATGTGATGTTTTGTTTGTTATGGCTAAAATAGCCTATTTTGTTTTTTGTGGCTAAAATAGCCAAAAAAGCCAGCAAACCCACTTGCCAAACACAGGCTTAGCTTACTAAAATAGCCAAAAGTTAAAATAGTCTACTAAAATAGCAACTTTCCAAACAATTACAAAATGTCACATTCAACTCATAATCTTTTCATTTTTTTTCTCACAACTATCAAATCAACTAAAAAAAAAAATACCAACCAACTTTCTAACCATAATTTTTTTTAACTAAGTTAAAATAATTAAAAAAATAAAATAATTAACTAAAATAGCCAACCTCCCAAACAACACTTAAATGTTTCAATTAGGAAAAGGTCCACATCACGAAAATATGGCTAAAGAAAAATGTAGCCGAGGGGGCAAACAAGAAAAACAAAAATGGGAGGAAAATGAGAGACTTTTTTTTCTTTCTTTTTTTTTGTTTTGATCGGCAAGGTAGAAGACGCTACATAAAGTCTTTATTTGGGAATAATTGATTTAGCCTAATTTTTTAGTTTTCTTTAGGGTTAATTGGTACTGAATGTAACGTCTCGAAATAAATATAATATATCATTCAAAACGATAAGTAAATAACATTATGAATCAGAGTATAATATCCTTCTATTACATGAGATTCGATCGTACAAAAAGGTGACACATGCGTTATACATTCATAAATAGTACATCTTGAATTTATAACATGTATTATAAAATAGTAATAATGTAATAAAAACTAAACAAGTAATCCTATGCTCTAATGGCTCACACCTTTTCAAGTCAAGGCTTGGGTACATCAAAAGTGAGTCACAAACTCAATACAAATAAAACCCTAGGCTTGTACAAACATTAAATACAAAATAACAAAACTAAGCCTTTAGCTCCACAGTCCTCCCAAGCTAAGTCCTTGGTGGAGGCATATCACCGACACCTGAAAATGATTTTCCCCAAATAGGATGAACCAAAGCCCAGTAGAAATAATCTAACACAATATATGAATCTTAACAAAGATATAAAGGTGAAATGCATATGCAATGCCTAGGTCAAAACGGTTTACATTTCTTTCTCAGAATCATGCCATGCTCAATTTATATCAAAATTCTCAAATCATATCCTTTACCATTAGAAACAAGGGGGAAATTCTTAAACTAGTACAACCTTTCAGAGATATTTCGTCTGCGAAAAATTGTCAAACGGCACCCACGTAAACGTAGTCTATACAAGTACTACTTTGTCATTTTACGGATATTTCGTCCGCGGGAATCGGCACCCATGTATATGCGCGTTTTTTGAGACTTTCACCCTAGACACACAAGCCAACTTAATTTGATGATACACACCTCTTTCCAACATTCACCCATTTTTCTTAAATTTATATACATATGCAATGTATTAAATGAGCAACAATATTCAATGCACAAAGATGAGAAATTATTTTCAATTCATCTAATTCTTATGCAAATTCTACAAAACAATCATAATTATCCTCCACCGATAGCCCAAAATAAATATTTTTAAATAGATAAAAAATCTCTCATACAGATAAACTTTCCAAATTTCAAGGTGAGTGATAATGCATATCAACCTCCACCATCTATATCAATATCCATCCAATTTCACATAACTAACATCAATTTCATTTATTTATACAAAATAAATAATTGAGCCATTTAGATCAAAATCCCTTTTCTTCCAAAATCCAACCCAATGGTCAAAATCAACAATTTGTTCACAACTCAACCTCATTTCCACTCCCATAACCATTTTCCATACAACTATTTGAAAATCCCTCTTTTTAATTTTAAACCAAAATCCTAGGTTTGTTCAAAATCCTCCAAAACCACAAGATTGTTTATGAAAAACAAATAGCTAAGTTAAAAATTATAAAAGAGTGTAAAGAATCCCTACTTCAAAGCTAGAAGACCAAAGAGAGAGTGAAGAAATCTCAAGAAAGCTTAAATCTAACTCTATTCGAATGAGAACAAAGCTCTAGGTGAGCTTTAACTTTTTAACAAAGGAGGTAGAGTGGAGAAATAGGTAGATCTTAGTGTATTTGTAGAGAGAGAGCAAGTTCTAGAGAGATGAGCTCTAGATTTAGGGTTTTGAAGTGTTTTAGAGAGAGATAAATATGAAGAAGTAATATAAAATGACTTTTTTACAAACTGATATATGCACAGTCCACTCGAGCACAAGAAGTGACACTCGAGCACCCAGACACAAAAATGATTACCACTAGAGCGCAAAAAGTAACGCTTGAGCGCCAAGACACAATGAAAAAGGGCGTCACTGCTCGAGTGCAGAAAGTGATACTCGAGTGTAAGATACACACACTTAGTAATTTTACAAATAGAAGACCATCGCTCGAGTACAAGGCCGCTCAAGCGTAAGAAACACTGCTCGAGCGTAGAATACACTCTCCTAGTACTTTTGCAAGCCTGCAAAAGTACTGAGAATTCACGAAGTTCGCTCGAGCACAAGAAGTGATGCTCGAGCGTAAGAGCAAAATTCTGGCCAGCAAGATTTTTGAAAAATAATGTACCAACTTGTCCCAAACACAACCAACACACCCCGATAGCTAAACTCAAAGAGGGAAAAGAGAAATAAGACAAGAACAACCATACAAAACCAAGAAACCTGAATCCAGAATATCACATGGGTCGGGTCTAAAACTAGAATCGTTATAACCACCCCCCTTAAGGAATTTCGTCTCCAAAATTACAAATCAAGCTATAAAACCATGTTTAAACCAATTACAACTTTGACAGTCAATCAATTCCATTACCATGACTCATCCACCGGTTATTCATTCCCATCAATATGGTAAACAAGTCCTTGATACTGAATATACAATTCACATATCCAAAACATATACAATGTTTATAATAAATTAACATATCAAAATTTCAATACATGCTCAAACATTAACAAATAGGTCCGGATACTTCTCACGGACTTCCAACTCACCTTCCCAAGTTGCTTCCTCAACTCCATGATGTCGCTACAATACCTAAACTAAGAGAATTGTCTTGCCTCGCAAGACTTGGTCTCAAGTATCCAAGAC